TTTAGGGTGAAGGGGGTGATGATTCGGATCCGTCTCTTTGGTATTCCTAAAGCACTTAAATAACACTAAAATGCTGCGTACTCATTTTTTCCGTGAATCTTTCCCTTAACGTAGTAAGCACTGTGAGGGTACTGAGTTCACTCAGCACCACTACCGATTTTCGGTATAAGGGGTGGAGCACTAAAATCAAGGTTGTAGCACTAAAATAGCACTAAAAAAGCACTAAATTCTCCAATAGGTTTCATTTCGTATTTCCGATGTGGAGGTGCCTACTGTACGTACATCTCGCGGAATACGGTTTACGGCGGAACGCGGATACGAGGGCAATATGCGAGTTCATAAGCATTTCGGATACCCTCTTTAGCGGTACACTTCATTGAAATAGGATCTTCCCTCTGGGCTATCGGCTTACCCAACAGCCATCAGATATATCTTGATTTTGCTACACACAAAACATGGAGCTTCGATGACCGATATTCGATCACCGTTAATTGTTGGGTCGGGAGCATCAATTACGACCGAAGGTCCCACATTGCGGGCGTTCGACGTACAGAGTTTATCATTCGGAATAAAAACCCTTAAATTATTGTTAATTAATGTTTCTCGGTATTGACTACACTGAAATGTTTAGTAAATGTTAAGTTCGTTTACTTTTAGATTGAAAACGAGGAAGGAACCTTGAAAGGAAATTCAATTTTAGGTTCGGAACCAAAGTTTCAGTGATCGAGGACCCGAGGACGGAGAGCGCAGGTTTATTTACTTTACTGTTAAGGTGAATTGAAACACGTCGAGGAATTTGATCGACGTCGATAAAGAAGATTTTTCTAAATGCTTACGTTGCCGACGTTCGTTTTTATATTGACAGCTGTGTCGAATTATATTAGGTATTGTCCCAAATGGCATACTCCACTTATCGTTTTCGTACAATAATTATAAAGAAATCGAAGTAAAACTCCAGAAATCCTCTGGATTCATGCTTTCTGGGGCCCTATTTGATTTCAGAGGAACTCCCTGCGCCATCTGTGATTTCCAGGTCAATTAAATCTTCACTCTGAGACTTCGTATTATCATCGTTTTGGCATAGAAGCGCATACAAAACTTATTTTGCCTTTGTCCCGTTCAAATGCGAGTTTATCGATTACCAGAGTGTTATAAATTGTCGTAAAATTGTGTTGACCCTTTCGTTTCTCATATCAGAGCCTTCGATAATTGTATATTGATCGAAATATGAGAGCTCGACGCCATTTTGGTTCTGGTCTGGGCGGAGTTAAAAAATTTGTTTGAAAAATCCACAGTTTTAATGTGTCAGGACAATTCTTAGATGATCAGGAGTGATGTGTCAAAGTTTCGGACAGTTTGGTCTTTTACTCTTAAAAAAAAGTGTTGTATTCGAATCGACTGATTTGAAGGGTGTTTCACTTCACCTTAATACCGTGTCTAACGTTGCTTCATCTTATTCCCCTATTCGTAAAGCTCTGCGCGATCCAGGGTACCAGGAACTCTTCCTCGAGTAACCTTAATTACTCGTGCATCCAGCCCGATTATTTAATCATTTCCAGAGATCCAATTCCCGGCCCACGCGTCGTTATTCACCGGGCCACCACGTTTGTCCGTGCTGACAAGGTGCAATGCATCTCGGCATACACAATAATCCCTATTTCACGGTAATCATTCTCCAAAGACAATTCCAGGAGGGTCGCGGGCGTCGGCTGGAGGCTCGCAAAGGTGGACGATTTATCGAAAACATGCGCCGATACGCTTGTTCCTACATAGCGGAGGATACCGCGAGAGAGGAGCTCGTGTTCGCGCCAAATTCTCGGCCGGTATCATTAATCCTCGCTTTATGCCGGCGTGTATTCATGCCCGTGCATACTTATGAAGCATGCACGCGAGCCGGTGACATTTCACGGGCGCCTTTCTGAATCGTAATCCGCGCTCGCCGGTGTCACCTCACGAACCTTTGACCCCTGCCATTATGGTTCTTCCTCCGGATTTTTTCATTGTCCCCTTCGCGATATTACCCCCCTCGTTATTGTACCCCAGTTCCGAGGGAAAGGAATTTGTCACTTCATGCAAAGCCGCCACGACGAGCGTTCCCACGGGGCTGCCGTAGTCTCCCCTCCTTCTCCCCCGTGTTTCTTATGCGCCTGTATCTTCGGGTGTGGATCTTAATAAGCGTCAACCGAGGGGAAAATCCCGCCAATGGAGAATGGCGACACTCGATATTCGCGCCCATCGTTCGCCGCGCAAGAGCCGCGCGATGCCTCAATGGCCGGCGTGTGCTGCACGACTAGAGAAAATCGGTACCGCGATCGCGGGATAACGCGAATTATGTTACGCAACCAACAGATAAATGATCTGCCGCAGCTTAGAGGAGGTGCAACCTAACCGGTGGTTTTATTTTCCACGCTGTCCGACGACCAACGCGAGCGAGAGTTCCAGCAACGGGATGCTTTTACATCCACTTCTATTCCGAGTATTTTACGCGATCGTGTCTTTGGATATGGATCCGAAGCTTCAACCGAGGAGAAAATCATGTATATAAAGCTGGAATTGCCACTTTAGCACAATTCAATAAAATTTGTTGCAAAATTTATTGCTAATTAGTTGCTATTTTATTGCACGAGAGAAAAATTTGTTGCTCCTATACTTTTCCGAAAAATGGTGGCGATGTCAGCTTTATATAAAGCTAGCGCTGCCACAGTAAAAAACAATTATTAAGTAAATGTTCATCGACGAATTATATGCAAGAATTTATTGCTAATTAATTGCTCGCAGAAAAACCAAATTTCAATTTTTTTCCTCACCCCTAAAGGGGTGAATGGCCGACCCTAGTGCTGATCGCAGGACAGAAAGATGAAAAACATGGGAGAATCGAACTATTTCTTCACGTGGAAATTAATTGCTCCGAGAAGAACCAATATCTTTGTAAAAATACACTTTTCAAAGCTACATTAATTAGCGATTAATTCCCACGTGAACAAATAGTTCGATTCTTCCGTTTTTCATGTTTCTGTCCTGCGATCATCACTAGGGGTGGCGATTCACCCCTTTAGGGGTGAGCAAAAAAATAGAAATTTGGTTTTTGTGCGAGCAATTAATTAGCAATTAATTCTGGTATATAATTCATCGATGAACATTTACTTAATAATTGTTTTTTATTGTGGCAGTGTTAGCTTTATATAAAGCTGACATCGCCACCATTTTTCGGAAAAGTACAAGAGCAAAAATTTTTTCTCTTGTGCAATAAAATAGCAATGAATTAGCAATAAATTTTGCGACAAATTTTATTGAATTGTGCTAAAGTGGCTATTCCAGCTTTATATACATGAGAAAATCTCGTCAATGGGGAATAGCGACACTTGATATTCGCAACCATCGTTTGTTGTAGGTAGATCGACTGTCACGCGATGCCTCAATGGCCACCGTACTCTATACGAGCACAGGGATTCGGTATCTTGTTTGCAAGATTGCCCGAATGATGTAATACATCCGAGAGATCTTCCTTACTTTTCAAGTTGTGTATGTACGTTATCACTGTGCTCAGAATGCGTTCAGTGCATTACTGAATGTATTTCTATCGACTTTTTTGAGCATTACGGGTTAAAGTGTTACCACGAATTTGGGTGAAAATAGAGGTGTACCAAAAATACGGATTACTTTCAAAATATGAAAAATAATTATTCTGTATACTGCAAAATCTATGTTGTTGATATGTAATATATATTGAAGGTAGTTCATATTTTTGGAGCCTTGTAGTATTTATGATTTGACTAAAGTATTTCTCCTTGTTATTGAAAAAGTGTAACTGGTGACACGAGATTATTCTTCATAATGTTAGTTTCCACGGAGACAAATGGTTTATAAATCTTGGCTTATTTCCCTAGCCAATCCAAGTGAGAAATGCGATTGGTCTGGAAAAAATATATCCCCCACGTATCAGAAGCATGCTTGTCCATTTTTTTGGGGGGGTATTCATGTGCGTTTTGTAGTATTTGATACGTTTTTATGTACCTCCTACCGACTATTACCGAAAGAGCAATTAAAATCCCGTTCCGTTAAGGGCGCTCACCACTCTAGCGATTTTGCAGGGCCTCACGGGGACAACGATTCCGAACATATTTCTAAACCGATCGAGCTTAACGAGTGCTCATATCGAAGATGAAACGTTGACCTGGGTTTATATGGGAGCGATTTTCGATAAGTGGTCATTTTCATATAAAAATTTCAATGCCCTTTTACCTAGGACGGAGGTGCTCGATCGAAAATCGCTCCCATATAAACACACGTCAACATTTTATCTTTAAAACGAGCACTCGTTGAGCTCGATCGGTTGAGAAATACGCTCAAAATCGTTGTCCCCGTGAAGCACCTTTTTCAGGATTTTCGAGTTTCTCGCGAGGAGTTTGGGCATTCTTTAGCAACCGTTGCCGACTCTAGGCGGAGTGTCCAACTGGTGTGTGCGTGCGGCTGGGGGTCACACACGTTTCGGCGCCTAGTCCAGAGGCGTCTAGCCGTTGTGTGAGTCCTATACGTGCAAAATACGCACACATTTTTCGCCCGTTGCTAAACACCGTCCATTATGCGTCGCGTCTCCCTCATCCGAGCGAGAAAGAACGTTTTGGTTACCTCCCACCGAATTCGATGCTAGTGCCATCTAGCGGTGGAAGTCATCGTCCCCACTTTGGTGGTGAACGCCGTTAAGGGAAATCTATGTAACTGTATGGGTTACAGCAGGTGATCACAAAATCGTAGTCTCTTTAAACTTGACTATATATTTTCTTCATATATTGCATATAACGGGATCAGGGATTCTCTGGTATTGTATTTTTTATATAACAAATTTTAAGAGTTACAGTCGTTCCAAAATGAATTACCATTGTTTTGAACTGCTTGGCGTACGATTGGACGTTTTATAAGCAGGGCATTTCAACTGTTTTTACTGACGAAGTCGTTATTACGGAACACGTTAAGAACTAATGCGTGCCGTTTGGTTACAGACTGTAAGAGAAACATGTCGGTGCTACTGGAAGCCAGGCCTTACAGGCCGTTCAAGTCCTCGGAAGAGTACCTGGTCGCCATGAAGGAAGACTTGGCAGAATGGTTGAATGCCTTGTACCCGGAGTTGCGAATCAACGTCGACAATTTTATGGACAGGCTGGACACAGGAGTTGCACTCTGTAAAGTGAGTAACGCCACTGTTTCCGGTTGTCGTTCTGTCATTTTCCCTAGCTTCCTTAAAGTTTATTAATCGCGCGAGGTGAAATCATCTCTAAGCGAATTCCTCAGCCCTGAGAACTGCACCTGCACATGGAGAGAGTATTTTAATAACTATTGCAAAGAAATTCTGCGATGATAACTTTCAGTAAGTCAATTTTGGAATGTCGGATATCGAGTACCGAATTAGTATGACAGGGGTAATACTATGATTTCCGTGGCGCCAAGGTTTGATACTTGATTATGGTTGGGTATGGCATGAACAAACATTCTCTCAAAGGAAAAGTTGATATCTCAATTAGTTCAGAAGATATTAATTACTTTATTGGTTTTAAATATCTTAATTGTAAATATCTCGAATACTGCACGAGATACAATAAAATTGCATGCAACCTTTTCCGTAGATAATGTGATTCCTCCAAGGAAGGATGCATTTTTATCGTATCTCGTATAGTTTTTTTTTTGGATATAATGAATTTAGTTGAAAATGACTATTGCCACAACGATTGTGTCAATTAAATTTGTTGTTCGGGAATGACCCGCGTCCATTGTTGGTCGACGTTTCGCAGATACTGATGAAATGTCATCATCAATACGTACATTTATCAAACGATTAGTCTTATGAATATCGTTCACTGTGCACGAGATACAATACAATTTCGTACAACCTTTTCCGTAGATAATGTGATTCCCTCCAAGAAAGGATGCATTTTTATCGTATCTCGTATAGTTTTTTGTTTAGATATAATTAATTTAGTTGAAAATGTCTATTACCACAACGATTGTGTCAATTAAATTTGTTGTTCGGGAATGACCCGCGTCCATTGTTGGTCGACGTTTCGCAGATACTGATGAAATGTCATCATCAATACGTACATTTATCAAACGATTAGTTTTATGAATGTCGTTCACACTCGGTCACATCAATAGTACTTTCGCTCCCGATGCATCAGGATGGCTTGTTTCCTTTTTCTTTTCTTTTTTTTTTTAATCAAGCAAATTTTCGACGACCTAAAGAGACTCCACGGAACTGCCGTTGTCTTTGACGAACCGATCTGAAAAAAAGTACCGATTGACCGACAGGAAAGAAATTAGTTTGCTCGGCGTGTCGCGCCGAACGAAACAGACCCTGTTACTCACTGTAACGAACGGTACGCGGGTGTACGTCACGGAAGATCGAGCTCGCCTCGCAGGTGATCGAGGAAGAATAAGAGTGCACGTACGTGCACTCTTGTGTGCATATGGTCGGGTACTTAGCGTTTAACACATGCGCGCACAGGAGAGGAAGGATGTGCGACGTCCAGCGGAAACCCCGCACTACGTGGCGAGAATCTCCGATGGACATCGCACGAATAATGGCCCCGTACAATGCACGAGTCGAAAAGAGAATCAGCCGAAACACCAGTTGAAATGTGACCTTTCGAAATGACGAAAAGGGTGGAAGAAAGAGAGGGAAAGGAGGAGCCTAGGCACGGAAAAGAGAAGGGAACTTGTTCTTAGTTCGCTGACCTCGCGGGGCGTCGCTGACCCTATCACCGTTAATTTTTTGGCTGGGAAATTATTCCGTTTACTTCGCTAATTTGGGCGTCAATGTTGGGGAAGGATGGTTTAGAGCCTGTTCGCAGATTTTATGTAAAATACATTCGACGAAATAGGAAATGTATGGAAGCGAACATGCTTTTATGGGAGGCACTGTTGGCATTTCTTTCGTTGGATGTTATTTGTTTACGTGTATATAAAGCTGGAATTGCCACTTTAGCACAATTCAATAATATTTGTTGCAAAATTGATTGCTGATTTATTGCTATTGTAATGCACAAGAATAAAATTTGTTGTTCCTATACTTTTCCGAAAAATGATGGCGATGTCAGCTTTATATAAAGCTAGCACTGCCACAATAAAAAACAATTATTAAGTAAATGTTCATCGATGAATAATATACCAGAACTAATTGCTAATTAATTGCTCGCAGAAAAACCAAATTTCAATTTTTTTCCTCACCCCTAAAGAGGTGAATCGCCACCCCTAGTGCTGATCGCTGTACAGAAGCATGAAAAACATGGGAGAACCGAACTATTTCTTCACATGGGAATTAATTGCTAATTAATTGTTCCGAGAAGAACCAATATTTTCGAAAAAATACAATTTTCACACCTACATTAATTAGCAATTAATTCCCACGTGAAGAAATAGTTCGATTCTCCCATTTTTTACGTGGCCATGCTAGGGCGACATAAGAAGGGTTGGCCTGCCACCTTAGGGATTGTGCAAAAAATTCGAAATTAGGTTCTTCTCGAAGCAATTAATTAGCAATTAATTTCCACGTGAAGAAGTAGCTTGATCCTCCTATGTTTTTCATGTTTCTGTCCTACGATCATCACTAAGGGTGGCGATTCACCCCTTTAGGGGTGAGCAAAAAAATTGAAATTTGGTTTTTCTGCGAGCAATTAATTAGCAATAAATTCTGGTATATAATTCATCGATGAACGTTTACTTAATAATTATTTTATATTGTGGCAGTGCTAGCTATATATAAAGCTGACATCGCCACCATTTTTCGGAAAAGTATAAGAGCAAAAAATTTCTTTCTTGTGCAATAAAATAGCAATGAATCAGCAATAAATTTTGCAACAAATTTTATTGAATTGTGCTAAAGTGGCAACTCCAGCCTTATATACATTTTGTTTACCCTTTTTCTTCTATCTGGAGGTTTTGATATCGGTGAAGGAGAGGTCATTATTTGAGGGGAAGAATGACATTGTTTTTTGGGATAAAATTTTCAATGGAAGCTCCGTATAAATCATTCGCGGCACACCCCTTTCTTACGTGCAATTTATTCGGATTCGTGAAAGAGGAATGGAAGGGCTGTGCAGTTGATCGCAAGGTTGCGAGTTTCACCCTGTTACTATTTTATAGGATTTGATGGTGAAAAGTGTCCCAACGGAATTTTTTACAATCGTTGTTCGGAATAACCACCTATTTAATTTCTTAAGAATCGGTAAATTTAACTCGCCGTTCAGGAAATAAACGCGTTTCCACTAGGGAAATATAGTGAGGAAAATATTGTAAGGACTAACGGTACAAAATAGTGCTTGGATAGGTATATGACGTGGACTGCAATGTCGAATAATGTTTATTGGTTCCTGAAATTTATTATCATAGTAAATTAGTTCTAGTGAGTCAGCTAATTATTATGCAAAACTAGTTAAAAGGTATGCGGAAATGTGGTGGAAACTCCTACGCGATCGTAGCGCCAGTCAAAATTAACCACGAGACCACAAACTAAACTTGCCTACTTTCCTAACATGTGTTGATAACACGCGTGGGTTCCAATCTGAACATAAATCTTCCACATTTTTCTTCTAAGATTATCAAAAAGAAAAAAAGCAATCACGATTAGCAAAATATTTATAAAATATTTTAACCCCACATATTCGAATAATAAAAATTTAATTCTTCCCTCTTTACCGCAGCTGACCAAATTGGTTATTTTCTCTTTTGAAATGCATCGCAATACATGTTTCATACAAATAAATACGATACAAAACGGAAGCATATAAAAACAGTTCTTTAGTTAAAGAAATTCATAATCGCAAACATGTACAATATCTAAGCGTAATCATTTTCAATTACCTGAACGCAATAAAGCGTCAATCCGTCCACCGCATTGTGTGAAAAAATAACAACATAACTTAACGACAAATTCCCATACCAGGGTCATCGGTGAACTCGTTTTGATTAGTTCTTTCATTGAATTAAATGAAAAATACACAGTTTCATAGAAGAAAAAAAAAAACATCGAAGACTTTGATAAGTTTGCAAGAAAATGACTTAGGAAGAAATGTTTTTCTTGCATTTAATTTGTCCTATGATAAATTTCGTCCGATGAATCATCAAGGCAGGTATTCGAGCATTCGGTTTTAAGTGGGCCCTTCAGTCTGGAGTACCGAAGGAATTTCACTAAATAACTCAATAAAAGGAGGTATTTAACACTAGGTTTACGGGCGTTTTTTATATACCTGTTTCTACGAGCACCCGTCAAATTGACGGGTGCTCGTAGAAACAGGTATATATATTTAACACTAGGTTTACGGGCGTTTTTTATATACCTGTTTCTACGAGCACCCGTCAAATTGACGGGTAAACGAAAACACGCATTTTCTTTAAAAAATCGATTTATTCAAATTAAGTCTGTATTAAACGACCTTAGGCTTTACGTTTAAATAAATTATTAATAAGTAAAAAGTCGTTTTTTAAAAATTATCACGGAAATGATTGGAATGCTCGTCCTCTCATCCTCGGAGTCAGAACTAGAAAGAGTGCGCATCCTTTTCTTGCTATGACACCCTTTCAAGAAGTTTTCCTCTTCGCTATCCGAAGATCCTTCTATTTCTCCACTTTCAATGCAAACTTTCACTCTCATCTTCGCCTTACACTCACTGCAACGAAGCAAATATATATGGATTGTTTATAAAATTAGCTAGTCCGTCAATTTGACGGGTTTCGTAGAAATAGGTATACTACATACAGATTTTAATAATTAGAAGGCTTAGGAAAAAATAATTGTGTATACAAATTCTTTGGATGAAATGATTAATTTACGATACAAAAATGGTTAAAATTAATGCTATGGTTTTTTCGGTATTTCTTTTCGAAGTTTGAATTCCGTCAAATTGACGGGTCCCGTAAACCTAGTGTTAAAAACGATCGACGTTTGTGGATTGTCCGGTATTTCGGCATGCGCGCGCTACCAGCGTCCCGGCGTGTCCCCAGTTGGCAACTCGCTTTGATTAGTTCTTTCATTGAATTAAATGAAAAATACACAGTTTCATCGAAGAAAAAAAAAAAACATCGAAGTCTTTGACAAGTTTGTAAGAAAATGACTTTGAATGAATTTAATTTGTCCTATGATAAATTTCGTCCGATGGATCATCAAGGCAGATATTCGAGCATTCGGTTTTATGTGGG